CTAAACTTTGCTGACGTTTTTTTCCGGCAACGGGCCAGCAGATGATCTATCACAGGCTCAATGTATGCATTACTGTAATTACATACCCATCTCGTATACGTTAACCGCAAACACTGAATCTGTCGTGTGCAGTTTGCGCAGTGCGCGCATTATGCAGCACGCACGGCTACATGCCCAGACGACACTAACGGCAGTACGATATCGATGAAAGATCTTTAAATTTAGATTTATATCAGATAGCCACGCACAGTGGTGTTCTCTAACAGTACGAAAACGCAAAAAAACATATCCTACGACGTACAGATGTAGAAATCACTTCGCTGTCAACCCGTTTTTGGCGGACAGCTCTACCTGACGGTCAACTATACCTTCCCTAGCTTCTATAAAAGAAACTCATGGGGTTTTCTTTCGCTAAACCTCGCATAGAAATTCGACTGCACACCTCTTTAGACTGCATGGCTTTCATCGCGTCAGCAAGATCCTTATAGTGTTTGATCTGACCAAGGGTTAGCTGGTTTCCGCTAATAGCAGTCTGGCGTGTTAGGCAGTTTTCGTCGCCAATCCAGCCATCGAGAAATCCTAAAGTGTGAGAGATAAATGATTATTCCTCACGGACCGCCCAGTATAAAAATAGAAGAAGAAGAAGAAGAAGAAGAAGAAGAAGAAGACACTTCATGAATCGGATAGTCCAAATTCAGTATAGCTTTATCAAAATTTAACAATCGTGAACAATTTCGCGATGTAAACAGTCAGTATTATTATTATAGATTTATGATGATGGTGATGATTTAGTTTTAAAAATCAGTGCGAATATATAGTTACACGCGACGGTCGTAGCATTTGCCACTGTACGTAAGCGCCTATCCACGTGACGGCATAGCCGTGGCGTCTTTTAGTACCGCAGTTCTGTCGAAACCGACATAAACAGGAAATTAAGTCGACAAAAGATGCGGTTATCGGAGCCGAATGATGTTTCTCTTTTTCTCTTTTAGATTGATTAGGTTACCGCGCCCGCGGCAGCGTCTGCGCGAATACGCCATGATGGTGACGTCATCAATTACCGATCTTCTTTCCGGTGACGTCACGATTATTGAATCCGTCCGGGTTGTTTTTTAAGATCATGAAACTCGGCTTGCCGGTGCCCGTCCACGGGTTTGTGAAGCCAACGCTGTTGAGGCGGGAAGCATGCTGCGACCAGCCCGTGCAGGCGTCGTACCAGCGACCCATTAGTCCTGAGTCACACACGGAGATAAATCACTCGACATCGCACTCAGTCGACGAAAGTAATATCAATGTCAATATTATATAGTACCAGGAGTGAATAATAATAGATTATTATAATAATCTACTAATATAATTATTATAATTAATATTATAATTATAATTATTATAATTATAATTATAATAATCTATTTTTATTATAATTATAACTAATATAATAATTATAATTATAATAATATATTATTATTCACTCCTACTAGTATTACGTGTACCGTCTCTGACGGTCATATGAGCTTAGATTTTAATGAGGGTTTCGAATGTTGTGCAATAGTACAAGGCGTGTCGCGCTGTTCAAATAAGAATATATAAACTTGTATATAATTTGTTTATAACGCTGTATATAAATTTGACGTATGTAATACGCAGCCAAACCTTGGTGTATTACTGCTATATTTCTTATTACATTTGTCAGTGTGATTATATTTGGCCGATAGATGGCGCTGCTTACCTGGCCCCGGTAGCGGATGCTTTCCTGGCACTCCGTTCCAACAGTTGTTGTAGTCATCGTATACCGTTGAGCACTTAACCCCGGCTTCCCTACAAACTAATACGTAAAATAGAAAAACTATTATGTAGACGCCGCATACATCGTGCGCGCATATTAACACGCAAACAAGTGCGTGCACGCATCCACACGCAGTCCTTCAAACGCTCTCACCCCCCCCCACACACACACACACACAGGCACGCACACACGCACGCACGCGCGCGCATATACCTGCATCAATAAGGTCCACGTTGAAGCCTTGAGTGTAGCCTTGATCATTTCTGGAAAAAATCACGTGAAAAAATGAGTTCCAATGTGCTATGTATTAAGTAGCTATATCCACTTAAATCATGTCGCCAAACATAAAATCTGACAATAGGTCATTATTATAAGCATGTGCGCTTTAATATTACCTATACTGATATTACAGGTATTCATAAAAATGCTGACGAAAGCCTTTGTTACACGTTTTGTGCCTAGCAAGTCTAACTTGCGGGACGAATGTTAGAAACGGTGTTTAGTATTTGCCGCTCCTCATTTTTCCCGAGAGATGGAGCAGCTGACATTCTTGCTATTTTAATCAGCTTACCAACGATGTACTAGTAGTTATATACGAAGAAAAAGACGATGCAAGTGTAAAATAAGCCTCTTATAAGCGAGTCCGATCTATATGGGGCAAATCAGATCTAGGTCGGAAGGACCGGTTGTTTTAGGATCCGTAACACTTGCTTTTCGCAACTCAATCGGCGTGGCAAACGGCACTTCCTATAGTTGGGATTTCTCTTTCAAAAACTATAGTCATGCTACTTATATCTAAAGATTCCTTCCCACGGGTTTAATTTCTAACCCTAACACTTAATCGTGGCTTAATTAATTATTTCCATTAGGTTCACCGTGAGTTTTTCGCAACATCAGTTACGCGCGTAAAGGCAAGATTATGAAAGCAGTTCAAAGATGAACGCACTGATGCGTTTTCTATAGCTGCTTAATTCGCTATGCCTATCACGCAGCACTGTGTTTATGCTTCTCACAATACGTCAGACTAAAGTACGAGTATCTTCCGCATATTTTATTGCCTAGACTTCTTGAGTTTGGAAAAGCTGCATAAAAACGCCTCCCACCGCGTTCCGCCCGCATTCAGAAAAGGTAGCAGTGGTGGCGCATCGATCGCTTTTATATGTTGCTGTCAATGATATATATATGCGTAGGACGTTGGCTTTTTTAGTGTGGTTTTACTGACTTCCCCACCCCGTGCTTGCGCTTTCGTCGCACACCGACGATATACAGCCACATTCTGCCGGGGGTTGCGTTTCTGTTGCTTATATATAGCTTTGTAATGTCACTGCGTCGTGTGACGCAGAACCTGTTTCTTGCCCTCTGACCGGAGCATTGACGATACACGTGCGCATATCTCAGCGAGCGCACATCAGCTGCAGGCTGCTGTCCCTCGCTGACTATAACCCTTCAATTAATTCATGCGCATGCGCTGTTGGACAGGACAGTCTTGACCGACGAGAAGAGAGATTGACAGTGAATTCTGCTATAGCTTAGAATGGTTATAATAACGTAGAATATATTTACGGGTCGTTCGCCGCAGGGAGGGCAAGCCGTAAGCAATATTCGCCGCCTATCGTCACCAATCATTATCTATTTATTATGAGGGACTTGTTCATTGCAGGGACTTATTTATCCATTCAGATCGGAATTATATATTCTTTATGGGTAAATAATGTAAAATTGTCGTTTTTGATGGGCACCTAGCTATCGCTTCACCTGCATGTTGATATCTACGGCGATGTACTGCGACTGTGAGGCTGGGCGATGCAATGCGACTGCTTGTGCGTGTCATTTAATAAGGGCATTAGTCCAATAGGACAACGTGCTGTTACGGAGCAATCCATCAGGGGGCCGATCGTCTAAACATTACCGCATAGCGGCCAACCGTAATCACCTATTAGCGAAGTGTCTGAGACAGAGGCACTCGCCACACTTACTGGTATTCGTACGGCGAGAAGTCGTGGCCGATAGCAAACATCCAGAGCTTATCGTACGAGACTGCGACGCCGCCACCCGTGCCTGTGTAAACCACAGGAGACGTATTACGACATGCCACGTTATTACCATACAATCAAGATGGACTAGTAGAATTTTCTATTATGGACTCTTGATATATACAATGTACACCTGTAAACTTCTGTCTCTCTCTCCGCGCTGCAAGAGTTTCGTTTGTTATCGGCTAGGAAATGCGAACACGCAACCAGGCAGGCGAATCGCAAAGAAACATGTCAGTTTGCATTAGTGTACGTTCTACTCGACTGACGCAAAGAAATGCGGTAGAAGTGCATGCGTGTGTGTGTGTGAGGTGTGCGCGGGTTGTAGGCTTCAGTCTAGTTACTACCGGTGGCACAGATTTCGCGCTAACATATTATGTGGGTTATTTGCCAGTTATGCAGGGCACGCCAAGAATCGTCAGAAATCATGCTGATACTTAATAAAGACATTTCATACAAGAGCTTGATACAGAAAAACCTGCCGCCGGCGCGCGCGCGCGCGGCGTGTTGTGTGTGTGTGTTGTGTGTCGTGTGGTGTGTGTGTGTGTGTGTGTAGTGTGTGTGTGTGTGTGTGTGTGTGTGGTGTGGTGTGTGTGTGGTGTGTGTGGTGTGACTATACATTCTATAGGTAATCTTCAATTGCATAGATATCCAGACTCGTGATGATGATGTGATGATGATGATGATGATGATGATGATGACGGTATTATGGATACCTGTGTAGGCGGCTGCTGTTCCAGCTCCGCCCGGCGTCGTTCCCTGACCATTAATGTTGATCTGCGCCGGCCCTCGGGATAGACTGACGGCTCCAAGTACGAGAGCAATCAGTGCCACCGCACCGACAAGCAACTGCGCAACAGAGAGGGGAAAGAAAAATACAATATTCGTCACGAGTTGGTGAGATAATGGCGGCGTCTGTCCTGGACGTTGCATCGTGTTATGGAATCACATTCGCAAATTTCACGATACAATTAAAAATGATTTTTTTTAGATTGAATTGAGATGATGAATTGAAGTGTAATTATAGAGTGCGCGCGGGTGCAGTGGGTCGGGTGCGGCGTTATACAGCCGCGTCAACACGTTAGTCTGGTTTACACGGTTCCAGAAGATTCGTGAGCCCGGAATATTTATGTACAGTCGAGCGAGAAGGAGCGTAGGGCTGCGACAGACCTGTACTGCCGAATCCAACTATACGCAGGGAGTAATGAAAGACGCGCAGGTAAAACCTGCTCAAGGTTGAAACAACAAAACTCATCCTACATTTCTTAGCGTCATTGCGTTTCGCAGTACAAGACTTCCTTTTGCATAGTAACGCCGATCTATCGTATATGTAAATTTCCAGTAAAATACGCACGCACGTACGTACACACAGGGGCGCGGACACACGCACGCACACACTCACCTATATGTACACACGGAGACGAGGCCATTGGTACGCACACACCTACGTAGATACACACATGGGCGCGCGCATACGCAAGCAAACGCGCACGCACGCACGCACGCACGCACGCACGCACACACACACACACACACACACACACACACACACACACACACACACCACACACACACAACACACCACAAACAAAACAACAAATACAATGCGCCCACGCACCAAACATGCACGTCAGGCACACTCACGCATACACACGCGCGCGCGCGTGTATGCGCAAATCCTAGCGTGCACGCGTGAAGACGCACTCACGCGCACTCACGCAGCATACACACACACTCCCTCACACATAGTTCGTACGTACTCGTACGTACTCACGCAATGTAACACTTACCATCGCTATCGCCGTCATCCGCTCGCCATTATTTAAGAACCCCATGCTCGGGAGAGGATCTGTGATTGCCAACTCGTCCGAAGCTGTCATTAACACGTATGTCCCTGTTCACGCGCGGCGGCGATACTACCACTGCTAATACTGCCGATATATTAACCACGCGGTGTCGCAGAAGAATGTCCGTGCTGTGTCGTCGCTGTCAGTATGGGGTCATCTATGCGCTTGCTACCCGGTGCCGCATCAGGGGATGGTATCCGAGAATCGCCGCGGGGCGGGCGCAAGCTCGCTATACCTGCCGCAAGGGGGCGCACCTGTCAGCGGTGAAATTTGTACTCGTCTTCACCTAACAGTGAGTGTATGCTAAAAATCTCTTGGTTCACTAGCCCCGCTTTGTACCTATGGCATGGTTCAGCAGATACTAAAAATTGCATTGACGCAACGTGGTCGCTATAGACAGTCAGAGATCAGATGATCCAGTTATAAGATTCCCTGTGGTTCGTGTAAGAAACATCGTCTTTGAAAGAGGTCATATTTAGTTGATCTGTCCATTGTGCGGATCATTGTTCGACCTCTGTTCGAACTGTTTCTCCTCTCTCTCTCTCTCTCTCTCTCTCTCGCGTCTCTCTCTCTCTCTCTCTCTCTCTCTCTCTCTCCTCCTCTCTCTGCTCTCTCCTCCCACTCTCCTCTCGTTTTTGTCCTGTCTCGTTCTCTCACGTCGCGCCCTCTCCTCCTGTATCTTCTCTCTCTCTGTCTCTCTCCTCGCCTCTCTCCTCTCTCTTCTTCCTATTTCTTTCTGTTCTTTTCTCTTCTCTCTCTTTCCATTAATTCTCCTCTCGCCAGGCTCCGCTCTCTTCTCGTCTCTTTCATTCTATTTTTATTTTTTTCTCCACTTTGTCTGTCTGTTCCTCTCTCGCCCTATTCTCCTCTCACTCTCTTTTATTGTGTCTCCTCTTTTTGAAAATGTCTTTATTACAGTTGACTTGTATGGGTTTATTGGGCGAAATACTGGTCGACGTCAGTTTCTGAGAATTTTTCTACGATTTCGTTCCTCTCTCTATCTCGTCTCTCTCTGTCGTTCTCGCCTCTCTCCTTCCTCTTCCTCATCTTTCCTCTCTCTCTCTTCTCTTCTCTCTCTCTCTCTCTCTCTCACACACACTTTTTCGTTCTTCTCTCTGCTCTCTCTCTCTCTCCTCTCTCTCACACACACGACAACCCTCTTTCGTTCTCTCTCTCCTCTCTCTCTCTCTCTCTCATCTCTCTCTCTCTCTCTCTCTATCTCTCTTCTCTCATCGTCTCTCTCTCGTCTTCTCTTTCTTCTTTTTTCTTACACACGAGCACTCTTCGTTTCTACTTCTGCTCAACACACACTCTTTCGTTCTCTCTCTCCCTCCCTCTTTCGTTCTCTCTCTCCCTCACTCTTTCGCGTGCTTCTCTCTCTCTTCATCGTCTCTCACTCTTTCGGTTTCATCTCCTCTCTGCTTCTCTTCTCTCTCTTCTCTCTCTCTCTCTCTTTAGTTTTCTCTCTCTCTCTCTCTCTCTCTCTCTCTCATTCTTTCGTTCGTTCTCTCTCTCTCTTTCTTTCGCTCTCTCTATCTCACTATGATACTATCTTCCCATTTCTTACTCTCTCTCTCTCTCTCTCTCTCTCGATCGAACGTGGTCTCTATATCTTTCAATTCCTTCATCTATCTTTCTCTAATATCTGATTACGAGATGTGAAACTACTCCCCACCCTAATTGTGCCATATATGCAAATAGCGAATCTGAGCTCGTCAGTGGCGTGCGGTATTGCTTATCAAATGTAATCGACATGACAATAGAGAATCTAGTTTACATATATAAGGATATGCCATAGAAAATAGGGTTTATCAGCTAGGCTAGACCTGCGGGCATCCACAACATTAATGCCTAGTAACACATATTCTAAGTGTGAAGATTGATGATTGATCTCTCGAGCGTAATAAGATTTCTATTTGAAAGGAATCAGGTGAGATCCAAGATAAGCAGTACAGCGTGTTGCAATGCATGAATTGTGTCAGTGGGGGGGAGGGGGGGGGGGCGAGATACGAGTAGGACAACAGCAGCAGAATAGGACAATAATAGGAAAAGTGTGACACTAAGAACCTATATTAATAACTGTGCCTTAAATGTAATAACACCGTACAATAACAAGTGCCGCAGAGCGACAGCGCTCAACTGACGCTGTACTGTACCGGCTATTCTTTTCTGATAAACTCACTGCAACCTAATTCAAGTGCGCCGTCCGCCACCGCGTTGATGGCTTTCTGCTATACCGGCAGTACAGTAATAAAGATATAGTCTTGTGCTAGCCTTTAATACTTCGTTATTATGGCATATGCGTCGAGCGCGAGCGGCGTAGTCGGTGGTGGTGGAGGGTGGGGGGGGGGCAGTTCAAGCCTTTGTTCACACAACCGTCAGACACAATCATGTTTAACCTCCTCTTGAGGGTACAAAAAGTGATCAGACACTTACTCTTCGCGACGTCAGTGAAGAAAAGGCAAAAAAGGAAAAGCGCACATTCCATGGTCCTTTCAAGCCATAAAATGGTCACCGCTGAAACAAAAAAGTTTTTCATCGCTCCGTAGACCATGCTCCTCAGAAATGTATAAAATCTGACCTGAGGCCCCCATTGACCGGCTTGGACCTGTAACCGTCCAATTTGGCACAGTGATTGGGTTTTTCTAGCATGATGTATACACCGAGCTAGTCACGAGCCGTTAGATTTGTGCGCAATTCTGCATTCTCCCTATACCTATAGCTAGGAGGGAATGTTCCCCCTTCTTTTACACCTCTTGACCTTTGATCTTTGACCCCCAGCTTCGACATCCCAACTCGTTTTCGGATTACCCCCCCACCCTTCACGTCCCGAATATCGTGACCGTACGTCGAGCGGTTAAGATTTGTGTCCAACTGTTCACGGACGGAAGGACGCACGCACGGACGGAAGGACGCACGCACGCTCATGCGATTCTACAAGCTGCACCTGACTATGTCAGATGAGCTAAAAAGAAAATGGTTCAAGGAAATAAAAGCAGAACAGCAGCCGTGTAATAAACACTCGATAAACGCTTTAATCGTGGGTGCAAAGTCTTCATGATCACACGACATCAACACAAAAATAATCGTCACACGATTGCGGTCGCAGCTTCCTAACTTTGGACAAACAAGCCCGCAAACCTCCCCCCCCTCCCCCGTTTAAACACGGAACCGGCGTCTTTTCAACTATACACGAACGTAGCGCGATGTACGCACACACGAACACACGCGCGGGAGCACAGGCACTTGGAGCGTTTCAATAAAATATAATGCTAAATAAATACAAAATCTATTTCCTACCAGTCTTAATGTTTCTCTACTTTCTTTCGCCTATTATTGCCGACAATTTCCTGTAAATGCCGTGCAAATGCTCCTCTGCAACACACATGTACACCGCGCGCACGATGCCGCACACTGACACATATACAGAGTCTACACTCTATATAGAGGGACACTAGATATATGTGTCAGTGTGCGGCAGCGTGCGAGCGGTGCATGTGTGTTACAGAGGAGCAGTTGCACGGAATTTACAGGGAATTGTCGCCAATAATGGACGAAAGAGAGTAGAGAAACATTAAGACTTTGGTAGGAAATAGATTTCGTATTTATTTAGCATTATATTTTATTGAAACGCTCCAAGTGCCTGTGCGTGGGAATTTCATACACGACGCTGTGCAGTGTAGGCGGCCTCTGACAGGAACATTCAGCCTAAACACGAGTCAGAGTTGTCACTCAACGATGTTTACGTCATGGGGTTCCTGTTGGAAAGCTGCCTGCAACACACAGCTAGCTGCCAGCGGCTACACACCCGGACATTGACAGAAGGACACGCTAGGGTACACACTCGATCTTCATCACCTTTACTATATATACACGCACAGCAATAACACGCTTATTCTTACAAATCGCAACACTACCTATTTGTGTACCACACACTACGACCAGACCTGCGTACTATCAATAGCTAATAAGATAATAAAGGTATTATAAGCTCTTGATAGTACGTACAAGAGTGACTAATAATAGACGAATCTATTGTTATTCACTCTTGGTACTATCCACAGCACACTACCTCGCCTGCGTAATTAGCCACAGTAAATATTACCTCGGCTACATACACACCACAGTACTAACTCAGCCGCACACACAAACCCACCAATAATACCTCAGCTGCCACATATCCACACCAAGGAGCTAAATATAACACATATTTAGCTCCTTGATCCACACTACCTACGTTACGCACCACAGTAAAATTTCGCGTACTTATAATGCCCACAGTATGTGAATGTATTATCTCATGCACGTGTTCTAGTAGGACATTGGAATATTGGCTGTTAAAAATATGCTAGAATTGAGCAATGGTGATGCATGCCGCTTGTACTGCGGCTGGCCTGTTTCCTAACCTGCGCTGATCACTTCTAAATGTCTCATGCATAAATAATTGTCGACCTGCCCCTATTCTGTACACCCAACTATCCTATACCTTTCTGTACACCCATTCATCCCCATCTTGCCCCAACCTGGGCCACCATCTTCACTCCAACCTGTCCCAACCCGGGGCACCAACTTCATCCCCATCCTGTCCCAACCCAGGCCACGTACCAGCTCCATCCCCATCCTGGGACACTGATTCTATTCCCATCCTGTCCCAACCCAGGCCACCAGCTCCATCCCCATCCTGTCCCAACCCGGGACACCACCTCCATCCCTGCCATGCCCCATCCTGAGCCACCATCTCCATTCACATCCTGTCCCATTCTGGGCCACCAACTTCATCCCCATCCTGCTCCATCCTGGGCCACCAACTCCATCCCCATCCAAGGCCACCAACTCCACCCCATCCTGGGCCACCATCTCCATTTCCATCCTGCGGCAACGGGAATGGTCCCATCCTGATCAAACTCCACTCGCATCACGATAGCAACGAATGGAACGCCTGATATTCGTCTCACATAATTAGCCCGTGGCAGCCGAACAGTGTGTTTGGCTGTGGCAGCACCAGTGTATACGTACATATAAAGCCAATATGGCGCGTGTCGATGCCGACCTAGTCAGCGGTGCTCTAACAACCCCACGCAAAGCACCGTAACTTTACCTAATTGCAACAATGGCGAGCATATACCATACATACATACATATATGTATATAAAAACTCATAATATCACACTACTTTAACTAAAATTGTTGAGCAAAATGTCAGGAATGGTCAATCTGAAGCAGAAATGGTTCCGTTCGTGACAGCTCACCGCACGCACACACGCGCACGCGCGCGCACACCAAAACTCTGCGTGAAAAGTACTTGCCAATCTCAGACTACATATCTATCTGTAAGTAATCAATCGAACATCTATACATTGCATTGCACTTCTACCATGCCAATTTTTATATGCATATATATATGAATATATATATATATATATTCACATACATAGGGGGCCTATACATGTACATATAGTACATATGTACATGTAGTATTATAACAAAATGACAAAAATGACTAAACACAATTATTATGGCGATATTATCTCATTTTTGGGAAGCAATAGGATATTGTGTGACCAATAATTCCTGACAGCACAGATATATATACATCCCTATATAAAAAAAATGGTCGCCCTCCGCCACTCCTAAGTGCTGGCTAAGCAATAACTTTATCTTTCACACGCCTTGACGTTCAAGACCACAAAGTTTATCGATCTCGCATAGCTAAACCCACGAGTTTATTAACACCTGAATATGCACCTAAACGCTAATCGCAACGATTAGGCGCGAGTCAATCCGCACTCATTATTGCACTAACTAATGAACAGCAGCGTAAAAAAAACAAGACGCTCCTGTTTGTGAATTTAAATTTGCATTATGTGATGCAATCGAGTAACAAAAGTGTAAGTAGTACACCAATCATACGGTAATTCGCACTTTTATGCTAAAGTACCATATACCTTTCATTGAACTGATGTTAATAATTGTCTTTGGGTATATCCACCCCAGGCTTAATGCCTGAGGCTCTCCACCCAACCTGCAACGCCTCTACATTTCTCAGTGTTCAGCCGACACAGATCAACTCCTGGGCGGTCATGGACTGCACCTAATTATCTTCCAGCAACTAGGTGGCGCCACTGCCAGGTTAAGTAGTCGCCTGCGCAGAACGCAATTTCAATAGAGAAGAGTCCCCTGCTTCTCCCTGCTTCTCCATCCAGGGTTCGGCTGTTTGATCATAGAAGGCAGCCGAGTAAAATACGACAAGCAGATTCGTGAATAGCATTGGGCCAGCGGCGATTGCACAACTCGCAATCCCGAGATTGCACGATATCTAAATCTAGCAGCGATTTGTATCACAGAAGAAACGAAAATCGAAAACACATTGGAATTGGAAATGAATCGACAATCACTATGATTTACTTATCTATACAACATCATGTAGAAACGCGGCGCCGCAGCGTTATCTCGCCATGAAACTTTGGTACGCCCTCACAATTCCCTGCATCGATCGCCACACACAACTTTAAATACGAGAGAACCTGTACGAGAAATCTACGAAATTAAATATAGCATATTTATAATCAGGTAGGGTATATTTTAAGGGTCTCATTGCCTCACGATGTCATTATATAAGTATATATATATATATTACATAAATAGATTAAGCTCTACGCATAATTATCGTAGACTCCTTTTAACATTTGCAAAATTGTTCTTAGTTAGCATTAGTTAACATATAACGGTTGCACATCTAGCTAAGTACATGAAAGTAGATTGTCACATATAGGTAGACACATGCAGGCATGTACATATATAGGTAGATACATGCATGCATGTGCACGTAGGTTGATGCATGATATATTGATATATGATGAGGCGCCGCACACATTTGGCGGAGAAAGCTCGCTCTCATATAACCATCCTCAGCATTATGCAATGTGAGAGCAGCACCCCAGCACGCAAGCGGCTACAACATACTCACTACACGGTAGCGCCAGCACGTGGAAGGCACGTGCAATTCACTGCTGCCATTCTCTTGACTCGTGCTCCCCCCCCCCCACCTTGAATCTGCCAGGAGACAAATCAGAAGACTGCATTTTCCCTCCACATTCTCGAAAGGCTGCAAAAACTGCTCTCATATGATTGGCAGAACGTCCCGCCCTCTGAACTATTCCAGCCCCTCCCCCTGTACTACCCTATCCCCCTCCCTCGAACCACCCCACATCACTCCTCCCTGCCCTCTTCCCTCCCCTGCCCCTACCCTCTGCTCTACCCATGGAATTCCCACGCCATTGGCGTGTGTGCTGAGATCCTTCGGCCAGGCCTTGATAACAACGCACGGTCACTTGCCATGGATGCTGTCCACTACATCGGTCCATCCGTCCGTCCGTCCCGCCGCACAACGACCACGTGGAGGAGAAGGAGGAGGAGGGGAAGAAGAGAGGAAGAGGAGGAGGAGGAAGAGGGAGGAGGAAGAGGAGGGAGGAGGACGAGGAAGAGGAGTAGAAGGAGGAGGAAGCAGAGCAGGAAGAGTAAGAGGAAGAAGAGCAGGAGAAAGAAGCAGAGGCAGAGGAGGCAGAGGAAAAGAAGTAGAAGGAGGAAGGAGTAGGAGGAGGAAGAGGCAGAGGTGGAGAAAGAGGAGGAGGATGAGGAGAAGGAAGAAGAGGAGGAGGAGGAAGACGAGGAGGAAGCCACGTTCACTACTCGACACCGAATGTGCTCGTCTCCTCGACTGCGAGGATCAGCTTCTCGAAGAGCATGGAGAAGTACATGTAGGGTGGCAGGTCGAGGCGGTTGAAGCATGTGTGAGCCCTGCAGGAGACAGAAGATCGCTGGCGTCAGTCTCACACGCTGTCAAAGACTGGCACCAGTCTCAAATATTGGTGGGTAGCCAGACACACGCTCACAGACACATACGCACGCACACGCACACATACACACTCATGCACACATGCACGCACACATAAACATGGTCCCACACAGGTACGCACGCACACACGCACTCACACACACATACACAAGCACCCACACACGCACTCACACACACATACACACGCACCCATGCATGCACACACCTACACACACGCGCACACACACGCACGCACTCACACTCACACACACGCACACGCACGCACGCACGCACGCACTCACACACACACATGCACACGCACCCATGCAGGCAGGCACGCACACACACGCACGTATGCACGCACGCATGCTGACGTACCGTGGGAGACTGCTGATGTTGCCCCACTTCTCGATGCAGAATCGCCGCGGCCCGTTGCTGCCCCGCAACGCTGCGAAGCCTTCGTAGGGGATGCTGGACGTTCCCGTGACAAACTGCAGCAGCCGTAGCCTCCGCTCGTTATCGAATCGCTCAATGGCCATCCAGAACCACTGTATCACTGGGTGTCCATCGTGGTAGCCTAACACATATACACACATGTAAACACACACATAATTATACACACATGTACACACACATATGCACACACATAAACACACATATACAAACACATAAACACATATACACACACAAAATCAAAGACATATATATTATACACACATAAACACACATGTACACACATATACACACGCATACACACACATACACACATATACACACACACATATATACACACATATATACACACATATACACACACATATATACACACATATACACACATATAAAAACACATAAACACATGGACACACACAAAATCAAACACATATATATTATACACACATAAACACACATGTACACACATATACACACGCATACACATATATACACACACACATATATACACACATATATACACACATATACACACACATATATACACACATATACACACGCATACACATATAAACACACATAAACACACATGTACACACATATACACACGCATACACATATATACACACATATACACACACATATACACACATATACAAACACATAAACACATGTACACAGTACACACACAAAATCAAACACATATATATTATACACACATAAACACACATGTACACACATATACACACGCATACACATATATACACACATATACACACACATATACACACATATACAAACACATAAACACATGTACACACACAAAATCAAACACATATATATTATACACACATAAACACACATGTACACACATATACACACGCATACACATATATACACACATATACACACACATATACACACATATACACACGCATACACATATGTACACACACAAAATCAAACACATATATATTATACACACATAAACACACATATATACATGCATACACATATATACACACATGTACACACATGTACACACAT